TGTGTGTGTAAAAAGGTCCCTTTCCCCAAAGCCGGTTTTTCTTCCCTCCAGAGAGAAAGGTCATTAAAATGCAAAGTGTTCTTGTCGTCCCCCCCCCTTGATCCCCCTGTTTGTGGGTCAGGCCAGCGATTGACACAACACCACATTGACAAAAAAAAAAAAAAAGGAACAACTTTGTAGGAAGTGTTTCATCCCAAATGATGGATTGGAGGGGAGGGAGGAGGGAGGGGGTTGAGATCCGTGTGTGTCAAAGCCGCAATTAATTCTGCGCCGTGACAGCTCCTTGGGTCACAGAATGCGGGGAGCTCAACAGATGCCCTTTGTACCAAGGGGAAAAACAAAACAAACCCCCCAAACCCCCAGTTTATTCAATTAAACAAAAAGCATGACTCACAATCACAAGAACTTCCTGCCTCCATTCGGGCCAAGCAACCCCACAACAGGTCGGCTCGCGCCGAACTGTCACAAGGCCGTGTTCAAGAATTAATCCAAAACCTTGGAAATAAATGCCCAAGCCATCACCAAACACCAGAGGGGTGGGGGGGAACCACGCTTAAGGCTGTTCTCACCTACGCTGGATGGATCGCAAGAATCCAGAGGCTAAATAGATCAACACAAGTGGATCTAGGCCAATTCCAACCACCCAGAGATTTCCTGGGGATCCGCTGTCTCTTTTTTCCAGCAGCACAAGCTCCAAAAGTTAACCCCAGATCACTGGGAAAGAAAAGGCTTTGCAACGATCAAAGGAGAACCGATGAACTGAAATCAGCTGACAAAACCATGCCTCGCCAGTCCCCCCCCCCTTAAATCAAGGAGAACGAAAAAGAATCATGGTTTGATTTAGGGGAGGAAACATCTACCCAACAGCAGGCCTCCCCCCTTCCCCGAGGAGCAACTGAAACAGCTTTTAATACCGCCTGTCCTTTAAATCACCTCTCCTCCTCCTCCTCCTCCTCCTCCGTCCTTTTCCTGGGTTTGCAAAAAAAAATAAAAAATCAACCCACTTGATTATGACTCCCATTTCCACTTCCGACAAGGGGGGGGGGAGGGGGAACAAGCTCGGATCGATCCCAGGAGTTCAGGGAAGAGACCCGACTTTCCAAGACAACCAGTAGATTTCAAAACTCCGATGGTGTGGCACAAGCAGACAGCAATTCCCGAAAACACGAGACCCGAAGTCCCATCGAGGGTTAAGTTAAAAAGACTCCTCCGTCACATACCAAATGGAGGAATGCAGAAAGGCATTTTAGCAAGAGATGTGTGTGTGTGTGTGTGTGTGTGTGTGTGTGTGTGTAGTTTGTGTGCATGAAAGCAAGTTACATAAATCCCAGGCGTACTCACCGTCTCCTTATTGGGCAGCAGTTCTTTTCGGATCCTGAAAAAGTTCTTGCCGTACTGCCGGAGGCCTTTAATGAAACGCTTCTGTGATTTAAAAATAAAAATACAAAACAGCAAGTCAGTGGGCCTGAATGGTTTGTGAGAGCTTTTCAAACATACAAAAAAACAAAAAAGGGGGAATCTGAGGTTTAAGAGCTGCAGAAAAATACATTAATATACCTTCCCTGCTTATCTGTGCATTAATTTCCACGTTCAGCCCTGAAATTATTTTTAAAAGAGTTGTTCAAAAAACAAAACAAAAAAGGAGATGCATCCTTTGGATGGCTGTTACGGAAGCAAAACTGAGAATTCCAGGGAAAACAACACTGGGGAAACTCAAAAGCACCATCTAGTTCCAGGTTAAATGGAGGAAGGAAACGATTAGGGGTGGGTGGGTGGAGGAGAGGAAGTTTTCCCATTCGGGAAAAATCTTGGGGAAGGGGGGTGTTTTGGCAGCCGAGCAGGGAAAGGTTGGGAAAACTCCTTTTCCCTTTATATGAAAACAATAAACAAACACATTCTTTAATTTAAAATAAAAAAATGAAAATCAGATGAAAAAGTAGCTTTGCCCACAGGGAAGAATTGAGTTGGAAGGGACCTTGGAAGGTCTTCTAGTCCAACCCCCTGCTTAGCTAAGCAAGGAAACCCTATACCACAAGAAAAAAAACACAATCCCGCCCCCTGCATTTTCCTTCTTTAAAAAAAAAGAAACACACAAAAACACAAGCAAGAAAAATATCAACTTTGCTTCGGGTTTCAGGATCCAGAAGCTGCAGAGAAGCCTCTGGCGCCTTTTTTTTAATTTTTGCAAATAATCCACTTCTAACCAAACAACACCCCCCCCCCAAAAAAAATCTCATCCCAAACCCTGATGATGAGGGTGGGAGGCAGAGGGTGGAAAAGTGGGGGAGCAGAGAATGAAAAAGTGGGGGGCAGAGAACGGAAAAAAGGGGGGGCAGAGGATAGAAAAGGGGGTCAGAGAATGGAAATGTGGGAGTGGGGGGCAGAGGATGGAAAAGTGGAGGTGGGGGGCAGAGAGTGGAAAAGTAGGGGGCAGAGGATGGAAAAGTGGAAGTGGGGGCAGAGAGAGGGGAAAATCAGCTCTCTCCTTTCCAATCCAGCTTGCAAAAAAATAAAAAAAATAAAAAAGCAGGCGATCCTGCAAAGGGGATTTCCGAGACCCCTCCCCACCCCACCCGAGAGTTGCAACAGAGCTGGGGCGTGCATGCCCCCCCCAAAAAACCCCAGGACCCCCAAAGCAAAGCGGTTTGCAAAAGAGAGAGAAAGGGGGGGGGGAGGAGAGGAAGGCAGAGATTCCCAACCTGCAAAAGGAGCCCAGGAGAGAGGAGGGAGCCCAGTCCGGCCAGGCACAGGTGGGGGCCCGGGGGAGGGAGGGGTGCTGGTGCCGGTGGGGCAAGGCCGGCCCGGGGGGATCCGGATCGCCACCGGGGAGCCTCTGACACTACAAAGGGGAGGAGGGAGGGAGGCAGGGAAGGAGCGGCGGCGGCAGCGGCGGCTTTAACATGTGATCCGGGAGCCGCGCTGGGCGCGCTGCAAAAGGCGGCCTGGATCGCGGCGGGGGGAAGGCGGACTCGCCGCTGGACGAAAACCCGACCTGGCGGGCTGCAGCCTGCGATTGTCTGGATTGGAACCGCGGA